TGTATGTCTTAACGGGGACCATCATTCTTGAAACCTCGTGGACTATAGCTACAGAATCACAAGGAACTGTACCAAATAAGAGAAACCAACGAAGTCATCCACATACATCCTGTTTCGCTGTATCACAGCTCATCAGTGTGCTAGATATCTGATTGCTTCAAGCCGGGATCAAAACGCGACCGATTTGACATCAGAGATTCTTACCCCTAGGCTATCGGCGCACGGCAGAGAAAAGTAATTTTAACTCATTATATACGTGCTATATACCAGCCGCCATAGCGTTCAATTCTTACGAAGAGCGATGCATTAAAGCAGTAGCAGCCATTAAAAATTCCCTTTTGTCCATAGTGATCAATCGGTGAACGAGAACATATATATATATATATATATATATATATATATATATATATATATATATATATATTTTTATATATATTATATAATCATCATCATCATCAGGAAGTCCATTACTTTATTCTAATGTACGGCATATAGAGGCCAAATTGCATGAAACAAAATTTTTCAATTTATCATTTAAATACCTAACATTTTCTTCTCAGCAATGAGCGATTTACGAAAAATATGCCATTAATTAAAACACTTTAATCGAATTGGCGTGAGGTATATTTCTCAATACAAGTCTTAATATTGTTCAGCTTTTGAACAAAACTGTTTTTCTGTCTAGTGAATGATTTGTTTATTTGCCGCGCAGTAAATAAATAAAATAAGCGTGGTAATTCTATAATTGTTCCCAGGTGTTATATATATATATATATATATATATATATATATATATATATATATATATATATAGTGCGATGAATAAATTGTCGTCTAAATTACGTAAAAATGAATACTGACATCTCATTTTAACAGATATACTTACCAAAATTACACAAAAATATCGTGAAATACTAAAGAGTAAATTTATTCATGTACTTAATAAAGGAGCCCGTCTTGAAGTGTTAAAGGAGATACCGAAGTCGTCTAGAGGCCATGGATGAAGCCAATGTCGATTTTATTGAATAAATTTACTCTTTAGTATTTCAAGATACTTTTGTGTTATTTTGGTAAATGAGATGTCAGTGTTATTCTCATTTTTGCGTAAATTGGAACAATTTATCCATCGAATCCTGTTAATTTCGATCTGAAAACATGATTCGATTTTTTAGCCTAACGCTTCAGTTTTGTAACACCATACGGTGTTGGGCGATACTTACCCTAGCGCAGCCTATCCTATATTCAATTTCCTTGTTTACTATATTAAATTTATTATATACCAATTCGTAAACTGATGTATTTAAAGTGTTTATTATTTACTAAATCCGTACGCTGAATTTTTATGGTGGATTCAGTATATGTACCATCATTGCTTTCATTCCACTTCCATATAGTTTCTTTTGAAGAAAGGTTTATCTTGAAATACGTAATTACTTTCCGAACACCCTAACACAATTACCGTCCAGGGTATGACGATAAACTACATCCGCGTCCTGGGTAAGACGATAAACTACGTCCAATAGCAAGGCCTCTGATTAGGAGGTTTTGAATCACATCTTAATTGCTGGTGTTCCAAGTCTACTCTGACCCGGGGTGGTAGCAACTGTTAGGGTCCCAGCTATGGGCAAATAGTTTTACACCCAAACTTGTGTAAAAATAGGTTTTAAAACAAGAAATACTTTGTAATAAAAAAATTATATCCAACAATAATTTTTGAAGGAAAAATTATTATCAGCAATACTTAATACTAGAGGGCAAAGAACCTTCACATAGGCCACACATCCTTCACATAGGCCACACCTACATCATCCACCATTATTTACTAGAAGGCACAGAGAATTCCCAATAATGCCAAGAGAAATTTACAGTGAAACATTTACTGTTAGAGTGTGTAGATTTTGGTCTAGTGCGAACAAAATATTACCAAGTGAGTAATTAAAAAAAAAAAAACTTTTTACGAAAATAAAACCATCCAAGATTGTAAATTTCCTGAAAGATGTTGGATTGTACTCAAAAATATAAGTAATTGAAAAAAGGTTCAAATATATATGTTTACATACACATCATTTTTTTTACCAAAACTATCGCTATGAATCTATTTCAAAAATTTTGTTGGCATTAAATGACCCACTGATGTTTTGATATGCCATAAAACAAAAAAAACAAAGATCAACCTAACACAATTATTGATATTAGAAAGACACGTAACAGTTTCATGGTTTTCCTATTTCAATTTTCTGATGAATCTCAATTCTCATGTTAATGATTGAATGTTTCTGGCGGGTTCTACGACAGTCAAATATCCGTAGAAATTCCCCTATCTTTCATTAAATATTTAAGCTTAACAATTTTAATATAATATTACAATAACAATAATAAATATGAATACTAGTCGTTATCTAAAGAACTAAGGGAAAACAAATGGAAAGATTTTATTTATTTCCTTTAACAGACGTTACACTTTCTTTTATTTTCTCACTGAAATCAAGTAGCGTCTCTGTTATGTCTTTTCCGTGTATCCACGCGATCAAAACGGTCCATTATTTATGAGGCATTGACAGATCGTAACGTACGTGCTAACGAAGGAATTAAGGGAGAGACGAGCAAATTTATAATAAGATAATCAAATAGATGGATAGATTATTGCAGAACTTAAGATACACTGGTATATTTCGACCCAAAATGTTAACGTAAGTTACTATACAGTCGTAAGGATATGCTAGACTGACTCGATAAACATTACTTGAACAGTCAGGCTCTCATTGAAAATGCTTATATTTACATAGGTTAGTCCAACACAAAGCTACAAGTCAGGTATACCCAGTTAGGGTAAAACAAATTCGTAATCGACTAGCCAAACGTTAATCATTATGGTGAAGCAACCGTATAGAACAGTTTAAATTACTGAATAACCCAATGAATATAAAACTTATAAAAGTTGTTTTAGATATGCTAACCTTAGACAGCTACGAGATCATCATAATAAGGCACCTGGGCACTTCGACATGGTGTAATGGTAAGTAAGCTTGTTCTCGCTAGATCAATTATGACTGAATAGTGAGTTCGATGCTCACCGGGTGCCCCAAATTTCAGCCTTGTGCCACATCTGAGCTACGCTTAGAGAAACATTAGGGCACTCGATGTAATGGTTAGCAAGCTTGTTCTCGCTAAATCAATTACGACTGAATAGTGAGTTCGATCCTCATTGGGTGCCCCTAATTTCAGCCTTGTGCCACACACATCTAAGCTACGCTTAGAGAAACATTAGGGCACTTCGATGCAATGGTTAGCAAGCTTGTTCTCCTAAATCAATTACGACTGAATAGTGAGTACGATCCTCATTGGGTGCCCCTAATTTCAGCCTTGTGCCACACACATCTAAGCTACGCTTAGAGAAACATTAGGGCACTTCGATGCAATGGTTAGCAAGCTTGTTCTCGCTAAATCAATTACGACTGAATAGTGAGTACGATCCTCATTGGGTGCCCCTAATTTCAGCCTTGTGTTACACACATCTAAGCTACGCTTAGAGAAACATTAGGGCACTTCGATGCAATGGTTAGCAAGCTTGTTCTCGCTAAATCAATTACGACTGAATAGTGAGTACGATCCTCATTGGGTGCCCCTAATTTCAGCCTTGTGCCACACACATCTAAGCTACGCTTAGAGAAACATTAGGGCACTTCGATGCAATGGTTAGCAAGCTTGTTCTCGCTAGATCAATTACGACTGAATAGTGAGTTCGATCCTCATTGTGCGCCCCTAATTTCAGCCTTGTGCCACACACATCTAAGCTACGCTTAGAGAAACATTAGGGCACTTCGATGTAATGGTCAGCAAGCATGTTCTCGCTAGAATAATTACGACTGAATAGTGAGTTCGATCCTCACTGGGTGCCCCTACTTTCAGCCTTGTGCTCTATCTAAGCTACACCAGGGCACTTCGACGTGGTATAATGGTTAGCAGGTCTGTTTTCGCTTATTAAATCACCATAATAAGGCACCGAGTGAGGAGATAACGAAATGTGACAAAATACTTCCGGTTCCACTTACCGAATGTTGGAAAGATTCAGTTTGTGATTCAGAGAACCCCATGTGTAAAAGTTATAATTAATTAGACCCCAAGTACCTGAAAACTGCACCACGGGTTGACGCAAGCCTTTTGATGAAATTGGGACGAAGAAATAGTTTGGATGGCTTCGATGGTTGTGTTATATAAATAATTAGGATTGTAACTGAATCAGGTTTTGGTTCATAAATGACGCATAAAGGGGCTGATATACACTTGAACAAACAAAACCAAATTTAAAAGCGCAGACACACACATGCACACACACATGCGCACACACAGAACACAAAACACCTAAATACCGTATTTAAACTTAGCCATCGTCGATTTAACAAGGTGGTAGCTTTTTGCTAATATGATACTTAAGAGGCTATCCTAGTGCGCAACATCTTTGGATAGTTGCTGAAAACGATACCACGGGTTTTGAGTGACTCAAGCCTTGTGAGTGAGACTGTGAAGAAGGAACTGGTTGGAAGTCGTCGATGATTGTGCTATATGAATAATTGGGATTGTAACAAAATATTTGCAAGTAAATAATCAAGTTTCAATATTGAATAACACATAAAGGTGTCGATATACCGTTAAGCTAATCCAAACCAAATAAAAAAAAATAGAAATCTTAAGTGAAGTTTGGAGCTGACAGCAGGTTTAACTTGATGACAGACTTTCGTAACAAACGGCTGTTTTCAGTACCACTCATGGTTTGTTCGTATCTATCTATCTAGCTAGCTAGCTAGCTCCGTTTGTTCATTATCTATCTATCTATAAAAAAGTTAAAATTAAGATGTAAAATTTCAGCACCTTGTCTTCTTCATGTACTTGTGTAGTCACATCAACGTGGACATTTTGATCGATGAAGTCCTAAAGAATGAAACGAATCACATGAAAAATATTGCCTACTTTCTCAAAGATTGTTCTGATATATAATATAGATATATCGTTTTGCCCATATCTATCTATCTATCTATCTATCTATCTATCTATCTATCTATCTCCGTCTGTTCACTATCTATCTATCTATCTATCTATCTATCTATCTATCTATCTATCTCCGTCTGTTCACTATCTATCTATCTATCTATCTATCTATCTCCGTCTGTTCACTATCTATCTATCTATCTATCTATCTATCTATCTATCTATCTATTAGTACCCTCTGGAGATATCCATATCCGTTTGTATGGTTTTTCTCTATTTACCACTTCCGCTTGCTACGGCGGCATCCACCTCATTCTACCCCCGTCTATCTCTATCTCTCTCATTCTCTCTCTCTCTCTCTCTCTCTCACTCACACACACACCCACACACACACATCTTGTCTCTTTCTTTCGTAGATCTTCCTCACATATCTATTGGCACACGAACAAGCACGTGCGACGAATACTCGTTTACAGTCATGAGTAAACAGTTTGTGGTTTTTCTATTTAGTACCTAATTTTGTGCAAAAAATAGATTCACATTAGATGGCTCTCTCCATGCTCTAGAGGCGGACACACCCAGCAATTGTACCTATCTTCCCTCTCTTTCTCCCTATCTGTCTCTTTCTAAACATGTCTGTCTTTCTTTTCCTTTCTTTTTTATTGTATCTCTCACTCTTCATATATATATATATATATATATATATATATATATATATATATATATATATATATATATATATATATATATATATATATATATATATAATGAACAACAGACACTTCAAGGTACCATGACAATAATTTATTTCACCAAAATCCTTTTAAAGGATTTTTTTGGATCATCAAATAACACTTCCAACAATGAAATGAGAGGAAAAATATGATTAGAAATTGATGGGTAGTGTAATTTTATATAATTAAATAGGGAGGGTGAAGGTGGCGGTTAAAGAGACAATACAAAATATAGTGAGGGTTAAATTTACATCTCTCTTAAATAAGCTTTACGTTGGGGTAGGAGGAGTAATGACCTATTTATATGGTAAATGAAATAGGAAGTGGAATATAGGAATAGTGAGGAAAGGAAATAAAGACAATGGCTCCCCAGTAGAATCATTAATAGTTGCTAATATCTATCAGGTTTTGGTTTTATAGATATAATATTTGGACCATATGTCTAATCATCTTTGTATAGGGTTTTGAATTCAAAGTTTTACTTCTCCTCGACTGGTTGCCAGCCAAGCCTAGTGAGCACAGGCTGACCTGATATTTAACCCATATTATGGAGTTACTGTATATAATCGCGTATCATGCAACATTTGAAGACTTAATTTTGAAGCTAATTTTAAGAGGGTCGTATCATACACGCGATATAAAATTAGCGTATGTACTGCTGACCCTGGCTACGCTGTGGACCAAATTATATATTCATCAACTTCAAAATTTGGTCTTCAAAGATCGCACGATACGCCAGTATATACGATAATTATCCGCACCTGATCCCCGATGTGTAACTTATATCTTGATCTGTCTCCTTTACTGACAACCATGCATTGTTTTTTTTTTTAAACTATCAGTTAAATAAAAATTGTAATGTTTGCAAATATAATTTTATTTATCTCGACTTGATGCCATTTGTTGAAATTAATAGAACTGTTGTTATTATTATTATTATTATTATTATTTTATTTCCTTTGATTTCTGATGTGTACTCATTTCTTTCCGGGTCCCGCCCAGAGACCTAAGGTCAGAAATGGCATCATGACATTTTCCACTGAGCAATTAAACACACACACACACACACACACACACACACACACACACACACACACACACACATACATTTTACACAGATAAAGGCCTTCGTGAAGTGTGGGCTGTACTTGTGAGAACAAATTTTTGTATTTCTTTAAGGCATGGTTTACCAGGAATCCCTTCAATTAGTCTACTCGAATCTTTTCAACCAATCCGAGGGCTCCAACTACAACAAGGATTGTTGATGTTCCCATGTGAAACATTTTTGAGATTTCGATTTTATCATCATTATTATTATTATTATTATTATTATTATTATTATCAATATTCAATTAGCTAAAAAAAAACAGTTAAATATAGTTACACGAAAAGACCGGGTGATATGTTCATCAGTGAAAGCAGTAATCGCAATTGTCGTCTGTATGATTCGGAGAAGCAGCTCGTTTCTTCTTATGTATTTAACATCAAGAACATGCTACTTTATAAAGAGGCCACACGTAGACAGGCTCGAAAGAAAAAGATGCAGTTAGCGAAGGACGAAAATATTCATCTACGCATGCGCAAAGATACAAATTCAAACAATTACGCTATTTATTTTTAAGAGGGCAGACCCGTGTGTGAGACAGACCGCGTCTCAAGTGTCACTTATGAGGATTTATTTAAGACTGATAAGAACTAAGTTTTGCCACATCGAGGTCAATCTTAATTTTGCTTTATTCAAATTTATTTAAGCACAAAGTGTTTAGAATTCTCAAAATAGTCATTCAGTATTGACTTTTACTTATTAGAATGTCTAGAATGCATTTATTTTTTATTCGGATGTATAAAGTATCTATTGGTCCTTATTTATAATTTTTTAAACACAGACAGTTTTACAAGGTTATTCAAAAATGACACTTGCCTGTGTACAAATATTAGTAAAGAAAAAAGAAAACTCATATTGATTTTCGAGTCAAATAGAAATTCTTAAGATTGGCACAAGACAAACTTTCTATGTTGAGTGTCGTTTATCCGAAATTCCTAAATCCGAAAACATCCAAAATCCAATTCTTTTTTTCAGCTGCTGATAGGACTTGCCACAAATGGAAACTTTCAGAAAGCACTGGGAAGGTTCCGAGGTGATGTGCAGCTATTGTAAGCCACTTTCTCTGCCCTTGGTGGGGGTTCCATAGCCCAGCTACGTAGCCTACGTTGGCGCCAGTTTTTTGTTAACGATCATTATAGCAAAACATTCGTTCGTGAATTACTTACCAGGTGTTTCGTGCTCAGTAAAGATATTATTCAAAATTTCTTATAGTCCTGCATTTATATATTCTTGTAAATAGTGATCATGTTTTTTGTACACATACAGAAAGTACGAAATTTTTTACGTAAAATTTTAATTTCAGCCTTTAAATATCCGCGTGAGCATTACATGACTAGCGTCATTACCTGTATCTGTATGTACACAAAACTGATTAAATTTCATATAAAACTACTTTCAGTGTATATATTATTTATATAAAACTACATTCAGGTATATATATATATATATATATATATATATATATATATATATATATATATATATATATATATAAGCTGTGTTATAAAATGTAAAGGGATATCGTGTTTATGCTAGGGTTCCATTCCCAAGTTGCCCCATTTTATAGATGCTATATACAAATTAAATAGCCTATATTTCAAAATCCGAAAAAATCTGAAAATCGAAGCACTTTCAGTCCCAAGAATTTCGGATAAAGGATTCTCCACCTGGAACAGTATCTCTAACCAACTGGCTATATATATTAATTCATAGCTTGGATTATAGCAGTTGTGGTTAACAAACTAGCCTTAAAGATAATTGCGAATACAATGAATTCGATCATTACTGGATGAGTAATTTTATTCGAATATATATGTATTTACAATATATGTGCCTTTATGCAAAATAAATGTGGCGTGTATTCCTCTTCATAAATATTTTCATTCAAAACATAGGGGCTAATATTCAAAATATATGAATCTTTATTCAAGGTATAAATACTTGTCTATATTTCTGAGATGAGGTATTATGTACATTATTTACATTATTCGGACTATTGTCCTCATCTTTGTCGCCATATTTATCACAACGTTCCGGCCTTCTTCAGGTGGTTGGAATGTAAAACTGAACCCTGTCGAACTGAACCCTTTATTTCGATCACCGGGGTAGACTGTTCTAGTTCCACGTGCCATGTTTGATGGATGGCAGTTATCTCCTGTTAATTTTCCCTCTGAAAGTTCTCCACTTCCTTAAACGGGTATTGAACTCACACTCTTTGGGTCCTGTCACTGGATCTAACCAACGCCTTTATCCACTGTGCCACTTGAGGACATCTGGGTATGAATTTCTGGGTATTATAAACCTAATGTCTTCAGCAACCATTTTTACCAGTACTCATATTGCAATTTTGCTGTTATCATTGCATATTTTTTACCAGAGCTCATATTGCAACTATCTTTATTCAACATATATAAATCTTTATTCAAAATATATTCGTCTTTATCGAACACATAAATACAAGTATTCGTATTTGTGCAGCTGTTTTTGGCCAAGCTCAACGTTCCCCCAGGTTCGACAACCACCATATATGCCAGATCTCGCATCTTGTGACATTTTCCTTTTCAAAAATCAAATCCCACGTGAAAGGAACGAGATTTCAAAAGGTCGAGGAAATCCAAGAGAATGCAATGAGGCAGCTGCTCGCTATCCTCACAAAAGAGTGGCAGGAATGCTTCCATCAATGGAAACGACGCTGGATAAAGTGTGTCGATTCATAAGGGGACTACTTAAATACCGAATTAAATACCGAATTGTTATATATATAAATATTAAGACATTTTTATGTTTATACGTTCTTTTTATAGATGCAAATATTCAAGTAAATGCTCTGTTTATAATAAACAGTATTAACGACATTTACCGGCCTGAATGTCCGAGAAATTTTCATATGTCGGAGGACGCATATTTTCACCTACAGACGACAGTCTGTTTCCCGCTAAACGAAATCGTCATGATAAGCTCAATCGATGTCCTGACGATTGTGTCTAGCATGAAACAGCCTTTCACCTCTGAGTGTTGACTTCAATGTTCACTTTTATATTTACATACGCTCTATCTCTGATATTGAGCACTTTATCCCATAAATATAGCACACCTCAAAACTATATTTCTTCATATATATATATATATATATATATATATATATATATATATATATATATATGAATAACGTCTTTTATAACTAACGTCTATAAACTAATGTATTTTATAACTAATGTCTTTTAAAAATGAAGTATATAAACTAACATCTTTTGGAATTAACGTCATTTATAACTAACGTCTATAAAGAAAATTATTTTGCAAGTAACGTCTATAAACGCTTTTTATAACTAATGTGTATAAACTAACGAATTTTATAACTAACGTCTTTTAAAACGAAAGCCTTTTATAACTAACGTCTATAACCTAACGTTTTTTTACAACTGGCATATATAAACTAACGTCTTCTAAGAACAAATTCAAATAATTTTACTTTATAACTTAGAGTTTTTAAGAACAATCATGATGTATGCAAATAAATAAAAGATGTCCTGATGAATGGAATTCAAAATCTACGAAACTTCGAGAAGATCATTAAACATTTTATAGACAGAATTTTTTAAAACTCCGGTCGCAGCAAATTTTTCGGCGCAACTGTCAGTTTCACCTCTATTACATCAAGCATAAAAATTTGCATCCACTAATTAACTTACAGTCATTTCCGATGACTAACACCTTCTTCCTAATGATGGAAGCGGTAATCGTCACAGTCGGTGCTTATACAACGAAGACTATTCTCGCATTCCTTTTTAACCGGTACCTAACGAAAACAAGTGCTAACGTTCATGCCTGCATTTATTACTTAGCGTCGATCTTCTATTGATGGGTCGGCTTTGGTTGAGGAAAGTAATTGTGCAAAAGTTTTCTTCTAGGCACAATCTACACTTCCTGGGAGTAGCTCCACTTGTTTTTTGTTTTTTTTTTTTTGTTTTTTTCTAAGATATTCGAGCCAATTGTAGGGGCTTTATTGTATCTGCCTTCATGTTTCCAGACAAACTTCAATAGAACCAGGCTACTCCTGTAACACCTGCTTTGGAAGGATATTCTATGATTATAGTATCTCTGTTGTTCAGTTGTCCCCATATAAATCATACTTGATCCATCCTCAGATTTTACAGTAGCTTAATAGATAACATTGTCTGGTATTTATTAACCATATTAACCACACGCACGCAAACACGCACAAACAATTATATATATATATATATATATATATATATATATATATATATATATATATATATGTGTGTGTGTGTGTGTGTGTGTGTGTGTGTGTGTGTGTGTGTGGAGAATGCGTGCGTGTTGTTTATAAACCCGGACGGAATCAGGTTATTTGAGGACTATTTTTCTGTTAGAATCTTTTCTGATTCTACTTTTTCTTATTTCTTATTCAATTTATTGGTTTTAAAGGCTAACCTCCACGTATTGGCAGAAAATAGGTGAAAACAAAAATATCTTCATATCAAATTCGAAAGGTCAAACTAGACAAACAAAGAAATTATTGTGCAAGTCTCAAAGCAAGTCTGTGTCAATTCAATATAATTGACTTTATTCAACTTACGAAAGCTCATTGGGACTGGGCCTGCTCACAAAAATCAGTAATAAAATCTGTCAACTTATCATCTTTACGACAAACCTCCAAATAAGCGCCTCATATTCTTTCTTTCTTTCTTTCTTTCTTTCTTTCTTTCTTTCTTTTCTTTTCTTTTCTTTTCTTTCTTTCTTAGTCTATTCATAATATATCAATGTTAGTCTATTCATATCTATCTATCTATCTATCTATCTATCTATCTATCTATCTATCTATCTATCTATTCAATTAACAACTATCAATCTCTTTCAGTTCATATATATCTATTCAATTAATATCTATCAATCTATCTCTTTCAGTTCATATCTATCTATCTATCTATCTGGCTACCTTAATTGATATTTATCTCGCTTCAGGACGTTGGCGATCATGGCTCTCCATAATTTCCAGTGATTTGTAGACCTTAATAAATTTTGTCTTACTTGCTCTCTCTCCAAAACCATGTTCTGAATCATGTCCAAGCCCTTTAAGTGGGTTATGCGTTGTCTTTGTCTATCCATCTGGCATTAATTCTATCCTGTTCGCATCAAATTTTCAAAGCCCTCTTTCCTCATTATGTGACCTAGAAATTTCAACTGTCTCTTTCTGATGGTAAGTATAAGTGCCCTTTTTGTTTCCATTTTCGCAAAAATTTCATCGATGTCTGGCCCATGGTATTCTCAGCATGCTTCTGTAGAACCACATTCCTGTTGCTTCAAGTCTCTTCTTAATCTGTAAGGAGATATTTTCCAGTATTCCCGGCTATATCGAACGACTGATATTACGTAACAGTTCAGTAGATTTTTCTTTGTTTCTAATAAAATTTTCCTGTTTCTTAATAATTGGCTTAGCTTTTGGAAGGCATCATTCATTGCCCCCTTTCGGATTTCAGCACCGTATATTCTGTCTTTTGTTAAAACACTTCCTAGATATTCAAATTGCTGTACTTGTTTGATTTTGGTATCTCCAATTTGTAATTTGCATCTTGGGCTGTTGCTTTTACTGACAACCATGCATTCTGTTTTCTTGCAATTGAGGTTTAGTCCTTTCTTCTAGCTTTCTTTTACTACCTTCTGTCAGAGTTTTGTAATTTCCTTTCTGTGTCTGCTATCAATAATGTGTCAACTGCACATGTTGTGCTGTTAAGATTGTGGCTGCAAATATGTAACTCCCAGTCAGGATTGAACGCAATTAAATTTTTCAATGAAGTTAATATACGTGAAAAAAGTCATTTACTTTTTTTTTTATAGACCAAACGATGTTTTTTACCTAAAGATTAATTGATGTCTGTTAACCAGGAATTTTTTCAAGAGATAACATCTATGAAATATTGTTCGAGGTACGTCCTGATGTCTGCAGCATGCCTCAGAGAAACGGGTACCTTCTTTGGTAGCGCCCCATAAAATGGCATCGCAAGTTGCACACACAATGGATTTATTATTTCACTCCCAAAAAAAGCAATCTAGCGTGGTTTAATGGTTAAACACGCTTGTCTCGCTAGATCAATTACGACTGAATAGAGAGTTCGGTCCTCACTAGGTGCCACATACTTTCAGCCTTGTGCCACATCTAAACTACTGTTAGAAAATCATCATTAGTAAAGGAGAAGAACAGATACTACAGATTGATCCCTGGCTAGGGAGTGAAAAAAAGCGTAACTCGGTTAGCACTGGCTGCACGTTCAATGAATACCGAATGTTTCCACATAAGGAAACAGTTAATGTTTCCATTACTAATATCATTAATTTTTGGTCAAATTTAGTGGTTTAGATTTGGTTTGATCAACTGATAGACAATATTGACAAGTATTTTTCTTTCGTAGAAAATCTCAATATAAGTCTTGCCAAAAATGTGATGTCTCCAGGGTTAACTTCAATTTAATCCATTTCAGTTTTAGTTTTAAATCTAATAATCTGTTTCATAAAACGGCATCAAAGAACCACTACTATTTTTATTAGTCATTCATTACATTTCCATTACTGCAGATCAGCGATTGTCATAGCACCATTGGTGCTTACGTCATAATAAGAGACTGACATTCTTCATTTGCGTCTTTACGATGAGAAATGTGCCACAAGGTTGGATTAATGTAGGATTCCATTCACGCATGAGTTACTCGAAGTTAAAATTGCCCAGTCAAACGCGTTCCGCGCGGCAAATGTTTCGTGGAAACCCATGATCCTTCCTTTTCATATAATAGGGAGGTGCTAGCCAAGGATAAGAATAACCAACATCATGCTCGCTTCTTTTATGCCCGAAGACGTGAGGGGCCATGTCTAATCCTACCCCACCTCCACATTTTCTTTTCTGGACATAAAGTGAATAAAAACTGTCCAAACGTTCTGCATTTCCGAGCGCATTCGGTCATACTTTTAGCCATTATCAAGGGTGATTTTATTTTTACTTTTTAACTGAATCTATGGATTGTGTGTATATATCTAGTTATAAGTGTGTTTTATTTCTCAAACACGGTCAGTACATTGTGACCGTGTTCCTAGTTAATGTTATTGAGTGTTGGCCTTTTTCTTTTTTATTATTAATGCTTCCATTATTTTAAATCTTTTTTTTACATGTGGATGATTTTATTATGTTTGTATTTTCTACTTGAATGTTTCTGATGGAATCTGAGAGGTTTGTATGTGTGTTTAAATGAGTTCTAACAGAGCTGTGGTCGGATAGGTGTAACGTGAGTCGTCTGGATAGGTATGTAGTAGTGTGACCGATGTAATTATTTATGAGTTTGCTTTGATCCTGAACACAGTTCCTTAAGGGGCATTTGAACTGTTGATTCTATGTAGTTTTGATTTTGCAGGTGTGTTGTTATTTTTGAGTGTAAGCTTAGCCGTTTTAAATTGTTTTATAATAGATGATTTAACATTTGGTTCGGGTCAACTGGTTAGTGTATTTCTTTATGATATTTCTATGGGAAGATTCATTATCTATCTATCTATCTATCTATCTATCTATCTATCTATCTATCTATCTATCTATCTATCTATCTCGTTGCTCTAAGGGACATTTAATACTAACTTAATCATCTGCAATAATCCCTACCCACCTAAGCATATCAGATCACCAAAAGAAAGCTCAAAAAGAAATACAAAAGAAATAAAATTTACTAACAATAGAAATCAAGAAAACCTTTACAAGAACGTGAAAGTAAACAAAGAAAAATAGATAAAAAAGCAGACCCCTACCCCAAAAGTAAGTAACAGTAATAAATACTTACTTTTTGGGTAGAGGTCTGCTTTAGGCTTTGTGTCGGTCAATAAAATGATTGTGGTATAACCAACATTTATATTAGCTTTTTCGTCGGAGATCCCATCTCCCAAAGGACATTTAAATTGATATATAATTTTTTTTAAATACATTAATAGGTGGGTAGGGATTATTGCAGATGATTAAGTTAGTAGTACTGAATTTAGTATAGTATATAATTATAACCAACATTATATATCAATTTAAATGTCCTGTGGAAGATCTGACAAAAAAAATTAATATATATGTTGGTTGTACCACAATTACGTTATCAAGAAGGCTTAATCTACACACGAATAATTTATCCTCCATTGCTCAACATCTACAAAAGCATTCCTGTCCACATACACAATTTAGAAGAATATTAGTGGACAATACCTGTATATTTCACCAAGAAGCAGAAACTACAAATTCCTTAAGATATCTTTATTAAAAAATTAAAACCAACGCTTAACAAAATTAATTATGAATATAGTACAAATGTTCTGAAATACTTATAGTATATAATTTTTAAAAATATATAAGTTACAATTAAACAGTTTAAAAATAAATTATACCCTTCTATTAATATTTCAATTATTTACTTCTCTTACTTTAGATTTTTAAAAAAAATTATGAAATTATTGTTATGCTCACGAGCATATTCTCAATTGTAATCATTCAGCCACAAAGAATTTCTCTTACAACATAAAATTTTAAAAATCAACGTTTGTGTCTTTGCGCATGACCGGAATTGTTAATGCAAAAGCAAAAATTTATTTCGGACTAACACAGTTATTTATTTATCTTAGCCATCAAAACCTTGATGATTATATTGGAAAATACCGAAAGTACTAGGGAAAAATAAAATGGAAATAAATATAGATACAATACCTTTCTTTAATCATAAAACAAGAAAGCTTATACATGATTACGAAAGGATTCTATTGAAAATAAATAAACACATGCCAAAATATACGGACTATAATATATATATATATATATATATATATATATATATATATATAGTCACCGGGGACTATTTCAAACTTTCAGCTTTCCAAAGAATAGCAGGATTACGAAAGGATTCTATTGAAAATAAATAAACACATGCCAAAATATACGGACTATATATATATATATATATATATATATATATATATATATATATATATATATAGTCACTGGGGACTATTTCAAACTTTCAGCTTTCCAAAGAATAGCAGGATATAGATAATGACTGTTGAATCGCTCCTACCATATAGACACCGCATGGTTCGTGAAAATGACTGAGATGGTTTAAACTACATGAACAAGGCAACAGAACAAACATGAACTTCGGACAGTTTATCGACCTGAATTTCGTAGAAAATATGCGTTCTCCAATAGGAAACGTACCTGTGTCTTACACGGAACCGTCATTTGATCTGATGTGCTATACCACTTAGCTATAGAGAAGCGTTTGGTTAGCAAATCTAAATAACTGTTTTTAAGCACACAATCTCCAACGATTTTTCTAGATCGATCATATCTACCTACAAAAAGAAAACAGAAAATATATTAAATAATTGTCGGACTTAGTCCATTTCATAATATATGTTGTCATTTGCTTACATTATGATTTATTTCAATATTCAGTCCGGTAAATGTAATTAATATTGTTTAATTAAACAACAGGGCATATACTTAAATAATTTGTATCTATTAAAATAACAGATGAACAGAAAATATACTAAATAATTGTTGCATTTTCACTGTATGTAATATCTTTATTTTCGTTTTTTTTTGTATTACCTTGTATCATATGTGATTGTCTGTTATAGCTTTTTGTTATTGCATCATTATTGAAACTTCATTTATACTTAACACATTTTTGTCATTGCCAAATTAGCAGCCATTGTGTTCGTATTTTTGCAGTGAATTAGGTCTAGAATATGAGCAACAATCCTCACTTTCAGCTAAACGAAGCACTCAAATTGCGGTCCCATGGGATGAAGTCTATTCGGAAAGGGAAAATATTGTAAGGCTGTTGCGAAAAAAAGCTATGCACGCCGCTCTTGTGAATTTCCAATTCTTAGGGACATAGGAGAGAAGCGGATGTCCAATAAAAACAATGCCAGAGA